ACATGAACTAGGCCCCAAAGTTTATTCCACATTGTCTCCAGGATGCAAGGAGGCGGAGAGTGTAGAGATATTAGATGGATCCAGTTAGGGAATCTGATCCTTTGTCAGGAAGCCAATCGAAGGAATGAGGTGAACACCATGCGGCTCCCAACATAGAAAGCCTTCAGCAACGGGGAGAGCCTATAGTTTGCTGCTTTCTCAGGACGTAACCATTTTCAGGAGAAAGGCCAACCTGACATGGTGTGTGCAAGGCTGGCATTATTTAGGGTTCAAAAGGAAGGACCAGAAAGCATCTAGAGAACCTACCTTAGATCTTATGACCAGACCAATTTCCCAACAAGGGGACACTGAATAAGCATATCATACAAAAGGTGATAGAATGTCATGTTGTTACGAGTAGTTGAACCAATTTTGAAACCAATGTGTATGGCAGCTAGGGTCGACCTGTAGATACTTGTAGCTCCGAGTGAAAGAAGTACATAAGGAAGTCTGTTATAGCACTCACAGGAGCGTTGGCTGGAGCAAGCCTGACTATTGACGCACATAACAAAATGCTAAACTCTGCTGTCACAAATTTGAAAGGTGGGCAGATGATGTCCCATGTAGCCATGGCTGTAGCATTGCCAGAAAGTCCCCCCGAAGAGGAAGATCATGGGAAGTTGAGCATTGTTCAAGGAAGCAAAGAGATCGATGTAAGGCTGCTCTATCATCCCAGGGAGAGTGTGTCTGCCACTACGTTGTCGGACCCTGCCATGTGGATTGTCTCAGGTCGACTGCTTGGTCTTTTATCCCTTCTGTATAATGTGGCTTTGGTTGGCAGTGTGAAAAAAGAGGCAAGAAAGCCGCAAGACATACTCAAAGATGGCGATGACATTATCATTCAGAGTTTCTAGCATGACTTTAGTGAGGTCTGGGCGGAAAGGAGAACTCTCCTTTCCCAGGAAAGGAATTTACCTTGATAAGAGGGGAAGAAATGAAATAGGTCAGAGAGCGAGACAAAGACTTCATGTAACCTAGATAAAGTTAATGTCAGTCTTTTTTGAGCAAGGAGTTCTTAACAAAAAGGCTTGCTAAGTCAAATGCATAACTTGTCTGTAGTGGCAGTGTATAACACCTGAATATGTGGAAGGGTGTTGAAGACGTTGAAGGCTATGTTCTGTACCCAACTGCGTCGGAAAACTTCGATCATTTTCACGCATGCATGAAAAATATAAGGCCGGCGTGAAATACTTTAGGCCAAATGACGTTTGCGATATGAATAACAGAATGAGCATCCATAGCAACTCACTCCGAGAAGAGCACTCATTCTAGTATATATTGACCTTGACTGGAGAAAATTGCCAGTAATTTCTGCTCAAGGAAAGGATCTCCACAGACAAAAAACCTCTTCCGAATGTCCGAAATCGTGGTAAGAACTTACAACAGAAAGTATTCATTTAAGAAATGAATAAGATCTGACAGAATTCTCTCTCATTTGATCATGCTGAGCATTATCGGAAAAGAAACCCAACAAATTAGATGACTCAAAGCAAGCCTACTTTTGACAGACATCATAACAGTCACAATAAACAGATTTTGGACACGCCCACTTTGAAGTGAACACGTGTTCGGAGAGTGTTCATTATATGGCAGGGCCACACAGCAGAATCTGCTCACGTGGAGCCACATAAGTGGGGGCCACAGAATGGTCATTCTGCTGATTACAGGGTTGTACATGGTGAGATGCAGTGGAAATAGATTTGCAAAATTTTTCTCGCAGGGCCCCTTGGGGAAACCCCAGATTACAGGGGTCCCAACGGCTTAAAGAACGTGAAGTTCGGATGCCTGGGGATGTGGACTGGAGAGACGCAGCAGTAGGTCTGCGTCACGACGACGAATTCACTGTAACAGAACTGAAAAAGATAGGAAAATGTTATTTTGTTCATTCCTGTCTTGGTGCCTGGTGATGTAGTCCCAAATGCCGGAAGGTTTAGACTTGTAGCGGTCATTAGCATGGACTCACTTCCCCTTGGCCTGGGCGGGCCTACCAATGGCAGTGGGAGTAGCTCCAGAAGGCTGTAACGGAGACTTGGGACTGGGTCAGCGTATCAATGGAGTATTCATCGGGGCAACAATCCTGGAAGTTGGCCCGGAAAATACTACAGTTTGGATTACGTCTGGATGCCCACGCCGCAGATATGTCAGAAGCGAGGTCGCATTTGCACATAACGGCCGCCTGGAAAAGTGGGGCAGTGGCTCATGTTCATTTGAGGAGGGATACCGATGGACTCTCACAATATATGTATAATCGAAGACAGATGGAACGAGCATTGATAATACAAGGTCATACCTATGACAAGGAATTCCTTTATTTTTTTTTAATTTATTTATTTTCCATAAATGATAACATATGGAATTTGTAAAGTTCCAAGGACCCTGTTATAACAGCGTAGAGTAGTTGTCTCCAAGACAATCTTTTTGAAGGCCCTAGATAAAGGGAAGGCAACTAGGAGACATTACCCGGCATTGTATACAATGGGGCCACTCCGGATTGCAAGGGGAGTGGTCCGCTAAGGCGAGAGCCTATATATACTTCATGAATAGGAGCAACAGAGCAAGAGTATCTGAAGATGTGGGGGGTCAGTTGACTGGCCCAGGCGTGGTCAGCGTCTTCCTCTGGAAGGGAGGCAGACAGAGCATCCAGAATCTGGAACATGTCACAGGTGGTGAGGACGCCGATAAAATCTGTGTCATCCTCAACCCAAGACACGGTCACTTTACTTCGACTGATATATGGCGGTGCTATAGTCAAGAGCCGAGGGTACCCCGTAGATTGGCAGGTAGTTAAGCAATGGGCCATCATGCTGGAGCGGACTCGGACACGTGCCAAGCTCTGGCAAGAGACTAGAATATTTCCACGCATGAAAGATCAAGCGGGAGTTTCGCAAAGTTTGCTTGGAAGATTCCAGTAATGCCATGTCATTTAAACAACTTGTAGCTGATGTCTTCCTATGGCAAAGCAGCCACCAGCAGGCCAAGCACTTGCATCATGTCTCGCTGAGAAAGACAGAGGCAACAACTGGACAGAGAGAGGGTGCTGATGGAATCAACTTCGTTCTTCTCGGCAGACAATGCTGGTTGCCCAGTCGGGGACAGGGCAGTGCCTCATTCCGAGCCACGCAGAGTCCCGTGGGAGCGGCCTGCTCTCGAGGGAGTACGCCAGGCTGGCGTGATTGCAGAGTGGAACCCTGCCTGAGGTAATCATGGCTTGCGGCCGGAGAGGGCAGAAAGGCCTGGTCTGCCAGAAATGGGTCTAGGGCAGTGTAGGCTGGTGGTGGTCTAACGCCGAGGTGGCGAGTGATGGAGGTCGGAACTTCACTGATGGACTGGAAGGCCGACATTCAAGCCGCAGAGGTATGTCGTGGTGGTCGAGAAAGATGAGAAGCGCTTGCCTTTTCTCGGTGGCCGGCGACCCGACAGCAGAGGTAACAGACAGGGTCACGGGAGGTGTAACCCCCACAGTGTGTTCCCGGTCGATGTCAACGGGAACTGCAGATTTCCAGGCAGAGGGACTAGGAGAAATGAGGTCCGATGACCTGTTGATCCCCAGTTGAAAGCCGGAGACGTGGATGGGATAAGGCGGCTTGAGGCCCTGGAGGTGTAAAAACCCCAGTAAACTCTGCAGGACCCGAAGAGGGATAAGCGGGTGTCGGGGGTGTTATGTATATGGGAGAGAGGGAGTACGCGCAGGGGGCCGCTAGAGAAGTGGTGTTCTAGGCCAACGTTAAAAGGCTGGTGGTGCTCTTCGGTGTTGCCGAAGAATGCTGGCTGGAATGCTGCGTGGATTCCTCTGGGCTATATCGGGCAAAAGACGTGGTGTACCTCACAATGATGGTAGGACGGGCCCCGGAGACGTCTGATGGGGTACTCTCTAGGAGTCACGGCAGGCTCGCCAGGCCAGCAATTGACCAAGGAGATAGGGTCCTTGCCAGATCCTGGCGGTGTCCCCACTCGGGTCTTCCACAGTTGACCACGGAGCTTCCCCGTCAGCTCCATGGGGTCCAATGAACCAGAGGCCTGGCCAGCGACCCCCCTGAATTAAACTGGCTAAGGCCTATAATTCATTGGTAGGGTAGACACAGTGTAGCTGGAACGAACTTCGTAGTACCGACAGTAAACACCTGCAGTGTGTACATACAAGAAAACTGAAGAAAGAACACAAATTATACACGAAAAGAACACTCTTACCAATAAATGGATAAAATCCAAGTTATACTTTATTTACAAAGGAATGAAAGGTGATCAAATTGACACTGAACGGTGTAGCGAAAACGGAAGCTCGATAAATCGAAGATGCCTCGAAAGACACGTCCGTTACATTACAGCGCTAAGAAAAGGACAGACCATCATGGCGGCGAGGCCACGCTGCATTGTGGGAGGTCAGGGTGCAACATGGGTGATCAAATCTTTTCAGCAAATGAATAATACGCGCATGGGAAATTTGCATATGTAGTGACTGTTTGGGAAGGTAGAGCACCGTAGACTGTATATTTTTGGAATAATGCCAAAGGTCATGACTAAAGAGAATGTTGAGAGTGCGAGCATGGGAAGATTTACAAAAAAGGGGCAACGACCTGGTCCAGGGCTCTGAGAGGAAATCCAGATTTGGAAATCTCGGATATTTGCTCTTTGTACCGTGGACAAGAAACATATAAAAGAATTATCCAAGAAACTCGGTGAGCGTGGACCAGAAACCTCATGTTCCCACAACTTTTTTCCACTCGTGCTCGTGTGATAACTAATAGTGTACGGCAAGTTTCATTCCGACTCAACCATGTGAGATGAATACTAAAAACCATAAACAAAACGCTCCTAAATGACCAACTTTTTGAGAACACAGCTAAAAGAGAACAGGAAACACACAAAAAAGTAAGCCATACTAGTTTGCTAAGGCGTTGAGATGAACAGATTGAAAGGAAGACAAACACAGTAATATCCTGGTTTTCTTCATATACACTTACCATGGAAAAGTCTTTTGGGTGCATTTACATGTCCATTATCTACTGGTACTTCCACTGAAATCACTTGCTCCTGTATTTCTTGAAGGTGATCTCCTGACTCCATTTGAATGGTCATTTGTTCAGGATGTAGCTTCTTATTGTTGGACTGAATGACAGGGATTCTGAAGAAAATGAAAGGACATTTTTACCCCGTATGTTCAGAAAAACCAATTTCAAATGCAACCTAATTGCCACAGTGTGTGGAAGTGTGGCCAGGTGTTGTAGGGACCAAAGTCTTGCTGAATACTTTAATTTCATTGGTTCTGTTCTAAATAAAATGGACAACCCAGAATCTTTAATTTTTTTATTGCATCAGAAAATTGAGCAACTTTTCCCAGAGAAATCCATGAGACATTGCGATATTGTAAAGAAGTAACTGCAACTATGATCCATTGTTATCCTGAAATTGGACCTACAGAGGATGAGAAAAAGACACAATACATGTACATGTATGTGTCAAACCCTGCTCTTAAGCAAGTGCTCAGGTACAAAATCCCAGTACAGGAGAATTAACAGATGATCAATCTAGAGCTTGAAGTGCTGTTGCTTGAAATGTACTTGTAATTGGGGCCCAAAGGCAAGAATTCAGTAAACCTGAACAAAATGACATACACAATTGAAAACCACCACTGGTTTAGAAACTTATGCCAAACCACTGCAAATACAGTATGAACCAGACCATGGGCAGAGATTTCTTGTCACATGGGGGGGAATGGTTTTTGAAAAGTTATCCCTGTGTGGAGTGTGACACAGCACAGGGTCCAAGGTCCCACTTCCACTGGGGGCGCTACGGGTGTGAATAACCATGACTTGAAAGGGGGGGGGAGAGAATATACATGTATTGGCAATCCCCTGGCCAAATCAAAATTGGGGACCCCCCCAGTTCAGCACCAATAGGCATGAACCAATTTTTCAATCAACTCCTTTGGAATAAGATGAATGTCTCCCCTCAAGTTTCAAGTGCCCAGCCATTCATTCTGTTTTATAATATTACATGAAATCATAATCAAATGGGTAAATGTACAGCAACAATATAAAAACAAAAGAAGTACCATTGTCAACACACAGAGAAATTTCAATAATAATTACAAATAAACTCCTAAAGGGGCCAGTGATTAAAAAATATATAAGAAGCCATGTCTCACAAAACCACAGGGACTGTCAACATCAATGGAAGGCCTTCTACAGTAAACTATTTGCATCACCGCTTTGTTCGGGCTTCAGAGTCTTTCGTCTCAGGTATGGGCAGAAAGATTCATCACTCCAACTTTTAGATCCCCTCAACCACCCTTCCCTTCGCTCATTTACAACACAGGCATATCCTTCTTTCCTGCCCAGGCTCCCCCATATCTCATCCATCCCTCACTCACCCCTGTCTTACCCTGCGTGACTTATTTGTCAAATGCAATTTCTTTCTGTGTAAACCTATTTCAAAGGGCTCACTCCCCTTTTATTTTGCTCCTGTCAATTGGCGAGCTACCCTAAGCATGCTTTCACGGCAGATGAGGCTCATTCCCCTTTTACCCTGCTCCTCTCTGTCATGAAGCAAGCCACTCTTTGCCTTCTTTGATATAGCCATGGCACAAATGCTTGAACTGCTCACATACCGTAGTTGATGCGTATGCCTTCTGAATGGCACTCAGGCCAGTAGCCAGCAAAATGGCTTTTACGAAGGCCTGACTAAGATTGACCCCCAAAAGTAATTGATTGATATGACGCTCAGATGTTGTTGCTTCCCCTTATTTTCATGATAATATCAAATTTTGCCATTGCTGGCCCGTCCTCATCACGTACATGTACCTTCAAAGTAATGAAGTAAGAGATTTGGAAGAGAAGCCATCATTTAAAGGGCATTTCAAGATTTGCTGGGCTTTTCTCTGACTTTTCTATGCTTCAGTCTTCCATTTGGCAAGTCCATCTTTGCTTTGCTTTATGACAGCCAAGGGGCTTATTCCCCTTTCAACCAGTACCTTCAAAGTATTTCTTTGGAGTCAGAGATTTGGAAGAGAAGCCAACATTTTAGAGGGATATTTCCAGTTTTACTGGTATTTCCCCTCACTTTTCCCTGCTCCAGCCTTTCCTTTGGCGAGCTCATCTTTGCTTTTCTTTATTATAGCCAAGGGGCTTATTTCCCTTTTCCTCATGTTCCTGGCTTTTCCTCGGTGTTAAACTTTGTTTGCTCTCCCTCTTGGGCTAATGGGGGCTCATTCACACCTCACCTGCTCCTGCCTTTTCACTGAGCCAATCTTTGATTACTTTCATAGCCAGAGGGCTCCTCGACCATTAATATAATTATACACACTAATATATATAAATTTCATTTTCCATTTCTACAGTATTTGTTACTGTTGTACCGGCCATGATAACTGGGGCCCTGATTGCCTTTCATTGCACCTATGCCTGGTCGACCGGTCCCTTGTGCTCCTTGTACACATTCCATCATGGCTCAATCAGTGCAATGTCAACTTTTCCTCTTTTTTTTACACAGAACCCATCCTAGGTGAGTGAAAAAGAAAGTGTTTCGGTGTTTTCCAATCAAATATTAGCAACAAAACCCTAAGAAAACAACACCAACAAATAAAATCAAGGATGGCAGGACCAAGAGTAAAGCTTTAATTTGTATCCCCAACATCATATTCAATGCGTTCAAAACTGCATTTCTCTTTTGAATTTGCCCCCGACACCCGAAGCTGGATCCACCCCTTAAGCCCACTTCTTACAGAAACATTGCCTTTCACTTCTTCCTTTCGGGCTTATCCCTTGAATCTTGCCGAAAGGCATCTTGATTTACATGAATATCACAACTGGCGTATCCATTGCTCTGTATGCCAAAACAGACCTTAGCCACACTTTATGGGCGGCCACAAGAACAGCTGTGATGTTGCTAAAAAAAACAGGTTTCTTGAGGCCATCGCTTGCAAAGCTACATGTACTTGTAACTGCCAGTTTAAAACTGAAACGTTGTAAATTGGGTACACGCTGCAAATTTCACACCCTACCTGGAGTCATCCTTCTTTGAATATCGAGAGGCCAGTCTGGTCATGCAGGCCTATTGCCCAAAATTGGCTATCGAGTCGTACAGCAAGAACTCGCTTTATACTGTCTTCTAAATTTCTCCTGACCTCATTATTTTAGTCACCAAATAGCTGCTCACTGTGAGCTACTTTGCAATACCCCCATTATCATAGCTGCTTAGTCAAACTATACTAAAATGGCATCTTGGCCAGAGCATTTGCAACTAAGGCTAATCGAATCCTTTGTATTTCTCAGTGCCGGCTCACTCTAAGAACTACTGTGCATAACACCATTAAGCACTTAAAGGCTGTCTACCACCAACGCAGGGCCAGTTATCTCTTGAAAATGCCCTTGCACTTGTGTATTGTTGGGTATTTAACCTAGGGGCCTGTCTATTTCCCATTTCTCGCATATCCACCATTATCATTGTTCAGTCGTGACACCATAAAAAACACTAAACTGACTATGTGTCAGTGTTTTCAAAAGATTTTGCAAATGTAACAAATCGGTGACCATCTTCATAAACGTAATGCAGTGAGGCTTTCCCAAAGGTCTACATGAAAGTCTTCCCACTCCAATGGGCCCCAAACTGATCATCATTAAATGGCATGAACTGCAATTAAACCCTGCTTGCAACAATGTCGCTGTAGTCTGAATGGCCCGAGCAAACTGAGGAATTTGATGGATAATGCATGCCCATTTGAGTTTAAGCACAAGCTGAACGTAACAACTTTTTGTCCTGTATGTTCCCCAAACTTTGGTCAAAGCAAGGGACAAACCAAAGAATTATGCAACCTCATCATGATTGTGATGCAAAAACGAACTTGCCAAAGACCAAACAATGAATTCAATGCAAAATAATACCTAGGGAGTGCACACTATGACACTGACTGACCCACATGTACATGGAACTACTCTACCTACACAAATGCACTATTCTAATGCAAGCAAAATGGTTGAAATGTTCCTGCACTGAGTCTGTAAAGCCTGCAAACCCTAGCCCTTTAGGTCTACATTCCATTTTTGCTATTGCGTCAGCGGCAAAAGCCACATATGCCCTCCAAAATAAAGGCATTCTGCCAGAGACTTTATTTGCCCTGAACTTTTCCTGCCATTTTTCCTAAATCCATTCATCTTGGATAGGAGGAGCACCCTCAATATCGTGTGATATTTTATACATAACATAAATTATTCTCAATTACCACAAATCACCTTAACATACATGTACATGTAAATAGTCATTAAACAGGGTCATCTCATAATAAAGTGAACATGGAAAATGTATTTATGTCATCATTGATAGGTCTGCTGTGCTGCCCAGAACAACTTGCAAAACCCTGTTGGGCCACCGAATGCCTGCACACATAAGACTACTACAGTCGATTTTGATACTACTCATTGCTAGTAATTTTAACTCTCGCTGACCCACGGGTCGTACTCCAGCCGTTTGAGCACTCAAGCATACTCGTGTTAACACTTAATTTGGTCATTTGGTAATTTGGTCATTTTTGCATGGTACCCGTTATACGTTTTGTGCATAGGCTACCAGGGAATTTGATCATTGATTGCACTCGTATAACAGACTTGTTCCCGTCCCCGCAGTGTATAAGGTAATGCAGGGACTGCTAACCAGACTATATAAATGTACTCACTGGTACCCGCACTAGTTTCGCATTAGCATTTATGCAATTAACGAAAGGGATCAGAGGGTACAATACATTTGCAAATGATATCATTTGTGTACGTTAACTGTACAGTTTTACAATAGACCTATCATCTTCTGAAATTGCTCAGCTTGTTTCTTTGGATAAATTCATTCAGACTGAGGTATGACAAAACAATTGTTGACCGCTTTGGTGTGGGATATGACGTTGTGAACAAAGGAGGGACGCATAGCGCCCCGAGGTGAATATCCCACACCATATGTTCAACAATTATTAAATGATAAAAAATGCAGTACAGATCAGCAGGCTTATCGAGACCACAAGAAATAAAGTAGGTAAACCACAGGCATGATTAATGGTATGGTTGAATTATGGTAGATTTAAACATTTGCTTAAAGATAATCTATAGATTAGTAGAAACTTTTAGTTTTAAGGTCTCATGTTTGATAGAAAGGGGATCTGTATATTCATAGAAATCAGCAAAATTTATTATACACAAGGCTCTTTTCTTTAAAAAAACAGTCTATTTAAATTAGTGCCAAAACCACCACCCAAGCAAGCAGGCCATAGTTAAAATGAGAAACAATCAAGATATTGTAAAGAGATTCCAAAATACTTCTGGGTAAAAAATACCTAATCTTAAGTACACCTACATTCCTAGCAACAATCTCACGGTACATAGATAATCAATATACTATAAGCCAAGAAATTTATTATAATCAGTTTTGTCGATCATAATGTCACTGGGCAATTATTTAGCAGGATTACTAAACAACATATAAATAGTATTTGAAAAATTGAAAGACAATCTATTAGGGGTGTGCATTTCCAGGTATTTTTGGAACCAGGTACCGTTTTTTGTCAACATCGGATACCTGGGTACCCGGAAAAGAGATCACTGAGGGTTCTTTTCAACAAAAACTCAGCAGACTGTACAAATATACCACTTAAATATTTGGGAACAGCCTTGAGCTGCAAAAAATGGTAAAAATGAAGCCCTCAGAAGATCATTTTAAAATTTCGACGGGTTTATTCTGTGTATTTCTTTCCTACATTCCAGAATTTTGTTGCTGAATTCTAAATGGTTTTGGTTTTATGGTAAAAATTACGTGTCTTTAGCATCCTTTTCCTGAACAGACTAGAAGGTCAGGACACACGGGCATCACTCTCAGCGGCTCTTTGTACGAACTTGTTTTCGGGACAGACTTTTCCAAAAACAATCCGGGCATTCTGATTGGTTTAATTGTCTTCATGGCACTTTCCGAATAGATCTGAAGGTTTCCTTCACCAGTGTTCCACGATGATCCATTCACAGACGGCAAAGTTACATTTTGAAAATTACAATGTAGTTTTTCCGGTCTAAAATGTCCGCTCTTTGTCAGAGAACAAGGTACGTGCAAATCTTTGATCTTTCATCGTAATTTTCATTTGGGTTGCAAAGCTTTATAATGTGAAACAGTCCACGGAAAGCGAAATGAAAAGGACAGGTTTTGGCGATTCATCGAGTGTGGTTGCACATGGCGCATGAAGAGGCCCTGTAGCATGCATGGTGCTGCTTTCTTGTATTGTGGGAGTCTACCGGTACGTTCATGTACATGTACATACAGGATATGCACAGCAGTTACCACCATATATACATGGCATGCCTGTCTGTCACGAGTCGTGCAGCCACAATGCTGCCTGATACCAGTATTTCGTCATATTCTAAGTCCCATTCAGTGAGTTGATAATGTGAGGATTCTAAAAAGGGAAATCTAACAGGTGAAATTGAAAGATGGAAATCTGGGGAAGTTATCATTTCAGCGTGTTAACATGGTTAGAGTCAGAGATTCACCCCAAAACTCGAAGTTGTCCCCATATCATCATTCCAATTTGGTTGTGTAAAACTTTGCTCGAAGAGCTACTTGCGCATGTGTACATGTGGGTTTCTATTCTTCAAAATAAGAAAACAGTTCGCCAAATTTGTTTAACTTGCTGCAGAAATGCCAGAAATGTACCACACAAGAGTGAAGAAAAACAACACCATCGTGGGAGAGCAGAGCAGAGGAAAATTCAACAGCGGCTAAAACTCACCAGTCAGAAATGAATCAGACACAGTAACTTGTGTCCAGATTAATGCTGGATTGTGTCTGTATTTTTAGTGGTATATTTGCTAAAAAGAACCCTTAAAGAAATGTTTGTGTCATTCATTGCAACCTTTGAAATCAGAAATGAGTAAGGTGTTTATTATGTAATTATTAACAAGTCTCATTTGGAGCTTTTAAATTGTTTATTTCTGAAAATTGTTAGAGAGTAAACATGTCGATTGGAGCTTTTACTGGAGACCAATAATTCTTGTATGAAAACTTTCACGATGCAATGAACAAGTAATTATTGCAACGAAGTCCAAGACGAAAGCAACTCTCACAAACATACACGTACATGTACAATAATGCTGGATTTTGAAAAGGGAATTGCCATTGGTGGCATGGGTTCCCGGATTAAAAAATGCAACCCATAAAGGCCATATACATTGACTGTGCCATGCCATTTTGCCCTGACACAAAGTTTTCAAATTTTCAACACTATCAGAAAAACCAGTGAACTGAAACTCCTGTTATCTTTTTTTTGTTGTAAATAATTTTCAAAATGATTTGGGAGCCTGGTCAAACTAAACCTTAATGGCACCAGTAATTACGCAGAACCTAATTTTGTTCCATGCACAATTTGTTTGGCCTTTTTTTTGGATATATATGTACATGTACTATGATTGGCAGCATAGCCGACAGCTACATGTAGGCTATGGCTCATTGCCAAGACAGGACAGTGGGAACTGGGCGCCGGCAGCTTGCCACGTTTGCGTAGAGCAATGAGACTTATCCAAGGGACTGGGCATTCATTTTTATTATTGGGCGACTGTTGTCAGGAATGCCAAGCATGATGAAATGGCCACTCCGAGGGGCTAGGTTTCAGAGGTTGCCTGGCAACAGCACTGTCATGGTAATTGTCAGCAATATGTTTAGGGCCTGTAATGCATACCAACATCCACGAGGTATCTGAAACACACATTTAATTATTTTCCGGTCCCTAATCTTTCAGTTTCTTTTCAATTATTGTGGGTTAACCAGTTACTTTTTTATTATTCCCACAAAACAAAAGTACCCCCCAAAAGTGATATTTATGAAGTCAGCTTTCTACCATTACTCATACGGCAACTCTCAACTTTCTCAGGCACTTGGGACCATGTTTTCAAATGTGTTGACCCTGGCAATGGTTTACACAGTCTCACCACTTTTAGGGCCCAACTGCGTCCTTTTTCAACAGATACTGTGAAGGCAGTTTTAATGCTAAAGCTAGCCACACCGCACGGCGCTTTGCCTGTGCGGGCTTGTGAAATACTTGCGCAGCGCATTCTTCCTTTGCGTTGTTGCTTTGTAGTCAGCTCCCTTGTGATCTGTACATGACAATCTGTACAGGACAAGTATTGGTACGGGAACAAGACTTCAATGGAAGTCTGCGCACTCTGCGAGGTCCACGTTGTTGCAAAATAAAATTTTGCTCGCAATCGTTGTTGGCTGCAAATCCCTGTGACCATGGCAAAATCAGGTCTCCTACCCGAAGCCGCCAAGTATCACCAGTATAAGCAAGAGTATCACCTACATGTACATGTACATGTAGACTGCACAGCCTGACACATTTGCTTTTTTATATTCACTTATCAGCTTATGGGGTAATGTAGGCCTTGAATTCTGGTCAAATTGGACTTTAAATAACCTTTAGAGCAGTTATTTTCAGAAAAACCCGACATTTACGGATAGAGGAAATAATAACTAAAGAAATAAATATCTGCATAGGCCTACTGTGGAATTATAATAAAACCTACTGTAGAAGACACAAAACCACGCTTAAAATGAATTCAACAATAATTAAATGGGTCAGAAACATGAGGTTGCAATTTTGGACAAAAAGGCATGTGGTAGCCACATCACACTTAAATAGGCAAGAGATACATGTACTGGGCACTCTGCTGACAATCACTGTTCTGTAACCCTTGTAACACTGCAACAAAGTTTGTTGACCCATCTTGTCATTATAGTAATGATCTATTGTACCTACAGATGCAGAACAATCATAGCAATAATGGGGAATCAACTTACATTTGCTTAAGTTGGTCAATCCGCCTGGTATAGTAACTCAGGGTAGTTTGTTCAGCAACCATGGATCTGATTTTGCCAGACAGATACAACGCTTCCTGGTTTCCTCGTTGGATGGTTTGTATGCAGTTTTCAAATTCTGCTTTAACTGCCATTAACAGTGGGCAGTATCCGGGTAAGTACTCCGCAAGCTACAAGAAATAAAATGTGTTATGAATAGTTTTAAGAAGGTGGCTCTGTCTGAGACAACTCAATTAAAATCATCCTTTTGGCAACTTAGCTTTTGGGGAGGTACACGCATTTATTAAGTCAGGGTGTATCATTTCTATGCATACACACGCACATGTACCCGCACACCCACAACTGCCCTTACATTTGTATTTTTGTAAGATATTTCTTTTGTTCTTGTGTACCAAAAAATTAGTGTGCGAAGCACAGTTTCCAACTGCTCCCATTGAAAACAGAATATCTTTCCTGGGCTGATATTTCAATCAAAGCTCCTTTTCAGTACATGTACAATGTATGTGGCATGTTCTTCATAAAATGGACTAAAATGCAACTCCGGATGTCATTTTTCAAAACTTCTAAAAGAGTGACTTTGATCATGTAAAATGCAAATTAGCACCTTCAGATTTATAAAAATGATTATATGGGGATAATTAGGCATAATACGTACTTATGGTGCAAATCAAATGGAGTTGAATTCATTTAAAGTTTTACGTCAGAGTGTTTACACCAGAGGGCTTGATTTCAAAACTTCTCTCAACAAGAAGGACAATTTAATATATTTTTCGACTGATGTATTTTAAAGCACCTAAGAAATAACTTTTAAAAAATATAAGCCATGAAAAAAAGAACACAATATTGACGGAAAATGATGAGAAAAAGTTTGGCTCTCTTTATTCTCTTACCGTTTATAATTACTCTCACTACACCAACTTATTTGCCAGGTCTTGTATCTTTCGACCACCAAAAATTATCTTTAAGTTTGGCTGCATCAAAAATTTATAATGAGTACAATATGTTTGTTGCGAACGTCATATTTGACAGAATTTTGATGACGTTCGAGAATTTTGACAGAAACTGCATGACGTTTGAGAATGCCGGAAATGCTGTCAACGTGTAGTGTTCGAAAATTCCATGCGCGATTTTTCATTTTGCCAGTTATTTTGGAAATAACTCCGCTGAAAATAAAATCGAAATTAACAACTTTGAGCATTAGATTTTCATCATGAATCGTATTTTATGTCTCAAACGTCATTTTCTTGCGAACGTCATTCAGAATGACGGATTTTCTTTTGAGAAAAATTGTTCTGGAGAGAAAAATCGCGGAGCGTCGCCATTCCGGGCGAGCTCATGAATATCGAATAAAAAACAGGGCCCACCATCTGGGTTGATGTCAAAGGTCAAATGGGCCACGATGCAGCGAAATGTTTCTCTAACGTCACCGCGAGAGATTGATGGAAGCCGCAAAATTGCCAACTGCAGTTTTCGGGAACAGACTAGAAGGAAATGTGATCGGTCCAGTCGTAAAAGGATGATGGTTTAGCGGTGCTTTTTTGCACTCTTTTTTAAACCTTGTGTTGTACATCGCTATATGGATTTTACTTTCTTTTTTGCAGTCAATTTTTTGGACACTAATGACAGAATCAAGTGACATCCGCAACTGCCGACTTCGGGACCCGCTTAATTGTAAGAGGTACTTTTTAATTTTGTGATTATGGTTTTAATATGTGTAAATATTATCACCTTTCACCACATTTAAATCTGTGTAAAATAACCTCGGGGATTATCACTCCTCAGTAAATTCTATTCGCTCGGATTTTAACAGCGAGTTCATGTCCCTCAAAATTGCTAACGTTCCAGACTTTGATTAATTAACTCCAATTAAGTTGAAAGGTTAACACGGTCATCATTGTTCCAGATATCAACCATGACTTCCCTTATTACATCAAACATTGGAAATTAATTCACTGCTGTTCACTTCAGGAAAAATGAACCACCGAAGTTAAACATTATCTAATGGTCCATATTTTGAGGAACCTGCCATATCTAAGCTGACTAAAAGAGCCTATCACTACTATTTCATTGCATCACAATCGGCCTACAGGAAGCACCATAGTACAGAAACAGCTCTACTGATGAGGATGCACAACATTTTAATGGATGATTTCTGAACATGTAACATGTACATGTACATATACACTGTACCTTGTTGGTACCACTACTATTAGATCTTAGTGCTGGTACTGGTAATATTAGAACTCATTTGTCAGAGTTGACCATAACACCCTTAAAAGCCAACCATTAAAGCATGGTAAGTCAGGTACAGCTTTAGACTGGTTTCGTTCATATTTATCAGGAGCAAGCCAGTGGGTGCCCATGCAAGGTACAGTATTGTGGTGGGACAACCGAAACCTTTTTGTGGTGGACCAGCAGACTGGCCTGATCGGGGATGGAAACAACTTGGCCTAACCCCACAAATATATTCAGTTAACCTTAAGCAAGAATGAGCAGCTATCCATACGCAAGGGGCAATATCAATTAATGAACAGTGGACTTTGCCTTGGGGGGTGTTCATTTGGTGGAAGTCCACCACCGCTCTGTGATTAAGTAATTAATTCCAATGTCAATAAAGGTTACAATAATGCCAATACAAGTGACAAGAGACTGGACTAAATCTCACGGTGACCAGTGATTTCAAAGGTAATTATATGACTGGATGAAGGAGTGGCACAGATGGAGGGGTGCTCGTAAATTTAAGGGAGTACCCCAGGGAGAGCTGTCTGAAGGGATATCTCTCCAGGACCCTGTGAAAGACTGAAAGTGGCCCCTGACGGGTTCAGGATGGGGGGGTCACAAAAATTTGCATAGTCATCGGTGCCGGCCCTGGGAGCAGAACGGCCGAGTGCCTTTCCTTTGCTGTTCTTCTGTGTCAACCTTGTAGAGTAAGCAGCAAAGGGACAGATGTAACTCGGCTGTTGAATGGGCCAACGAAAGGAATGAGAGGGACTTGACAACCTGTGGTGTGGGACCAAACTGGAGGGTCAGGCTCAATGGTCGTCTGTTTGGTACTGGTGCTGGGCTGGATTGTAGGTCAACTCGCCCCCTGGCCGACTCACCTTCACCCCCTGACCGACTTGCCCCCCTGGCCGACTCACCCCTTGCTAACTCGCCCCCTAGCCAACTTGCCCCCTGGCCCACTCACCCCGTGGCCAACTCGTCCCCTAAGTTTGCCAAGCACGTACACGTATGGCCGGCCCATTCACCATTTAATAAACAAAACACGATCAGCGGAGATGGAATCAGTGATTGCTGCCCGTAGAAATAGGTTCTGGGGTTTGTAGCAGACACTAAAAGTTGAGAATTATGAAAGTTAAACTGTTAAAAGTTTGGTGGATGTTTACTTTCTGTGGAATTTGGGGTAAAAATATTTTTTAAATATTGGTAAAACTAATTCAGTATTATCATGTGTATGGGCAATCTGCCCAGCTGCGGCCCTTCTGTGGACCTCAGTCACATACCCAAACATTAATGGGACGGAGGGTTCGAAGTTGTTGATCCTGAGGGTATGTTTGATGTACAAATGACCTAATCAGACAGTGGACGTGGGAAGCGCTAAGACATTTGAATAAATAAGTGATTAGTGGTGATGTTCGAATATCCGGATCACCGTCCATGAGTCGTTCTTGTCACATCGTTGGTTAGAACCATTCGTTTTTGGTTTTTTTTACACATTGAGCCGGCCATACTTGCTTGACATTACTTGGGGGCGAGTCGGTCAGGGGGCAAGTCGGTCAGGGAACGAGTTTACGAGGAGGCGAGTTGGAAAGGGGCGAGTTGGTAAGGGGTGAGTCGGTCAGGGGGCGAGTTGACCTGACACCCTGGGTTGGAGGAGGGGAAGTTCGCGAAGGGTAAGCTTGTGGGAAATGTCAAATTGTTCAACCTCAGCCTCCAAACTTTCAATAAATTTCCTGGCAAAGCGATCATTGCCATAGAGCAAGAGATCTTAAAGTTTGGACTTGACTCCCTTATAGGAAATCTTCATGGCGGAGAGCACATTAGATTTGGGGCAGATGTAGCCAGTTGGAAGATCCATGTGAACTGTTCGAAGATGGTGATGTGATGTGCTTCTACTGTAGCAGCCAATCAAATTGCCGGACTTTTTAGCATTGTGCATACCTCTGTTATAATGAACGAGTCCACAAGACTGACTACTGTGATTGGCGGAAATTCTAAGTCTGACAACTTTGACAGGTGGAAATTCTGCATATATACATTATGCAAGATCATGTCATTCATATGCAACTACATATAAATACATATCACAGATGGAGGGTCTGATTGGCTTATCTGCTGAGTGGGACTTAACTATGAACTTAAAATCCTTCGAGAACAAAATGCCAAGGGTACTGATAGTAATGTAGTTAATCCAACGAAGTCAACAGTGTTAAGCACGCCACATTCCAAAGCGAAAATGCCTACGCTACCCACATTTCAATGAACAAAAAGATGATATGGATGGGTACTTTAGACATTTTGAATGGTTTGCAACCTCTATGGGTTGGCCTGAATCAGATCGATCCATAACACTTTAATGCTTTACTTACTGGGAAAGCAATGGAAGTGAATTCAAGGTTGTCAGTAGAACAAGCAAGTGACTAAACCAGGTTCAAAAGTCACTGTTGCAAAGGTTTCAGTTGACAGAAGGTTTTGGTTTGAAATTCAGAAATTCCACACCAGACCATGGTGTAAGGTACAGTTTGTTGAACGACTTCATTCATATTTGAACAGATGGATGAATCTTGGAAATACTTCTGATACTTTTGGGGGTTTAACTGACTTGGTTCTTATGGAACGGATGTTAAATGTGTGTGAAAAAGAGCTAGGCATATTCTTGAAAGAAAGGAGGCCAGAAGGTGTCATCAAAATGGCTGATATGGCAGATCACTATGTAGAAGCTCATAGGAAATATAGTAGTAAATTAAACAGAAATTCTCATGCTTATAAGGTTCAGTGAACGTCAGAGTGTAGCTCAAAACCACCCTCATACAATGCGGACAATGACGTCAGGTGATGCTATGCGTGTGGCAAGCGAGGGCACGTGGCACGTGCATGTCACCATAAGTATCATGGCGCAAGTCAACCACCAAGCGAAATGAGCAAAATGAACAGAAGGAGCAGCACTTGA